CCCCCCCCCCCCCCCCCTTGGACTCCCCTGGGTCCGCCTCTTGTTGAACGGTCTTCTATAGAAGCAAAATATCGTGAATTACATAAGTGCTGTCGAATTATGTTGGATTCATAATTTATCCAGTGAGCTTTGTTCAGTGAAATTCTACGAACTTAAGGAATCGTTGACAACGAATAAATTTTAATTTGAATTGTATCGATCCACAGTTGAATACGTCGGTTACAAAATTAATTGATGAGATGATTATTTTATGTCTACTAATAATAATTACCTAAATGCATGTGAAAATAATTTTTGAGAAGCTTTATGGGAGAAAAGCGTGTTAGGAATCCGACTTCATCAATTAAGATGAGTTCTAATTCTCAACTTATACATTTTAGTCCCCGTTTGACAACCATTAGAATAAAACTCGTATTTTCTTAAACTTTAATTACATATTCTCACAATAAAATATTGTACACGTAAACTTAAAATTTTTTTACTTTTTAACCACATATTTTCCAAAAAAAATCACTATTTCTAAACTCATTTTCCAAAAAAAAAAAAAAAAACTCATTTTAATGTTTGTCAAACATAGGTTTAACGATACATTTGTTAGATTTATATTTTGTATTGGTGATTCTGTGAACAACGTGACCAACTTGAATATTTATAAAAGTTTAGGGACTAAATTGTAAAGTTTCATAGTTGGTAGGTTAGTTTAGGGTTTGGGATTATATGTTTGGAATAAGAAGAATTCACGCCGAATTTTCGTTAGCTGCTTGTCGGAGTGTTGCTTGAGCGACTGAAGCACAAACTACCTCGCTCGATTTTCGTCCTACTGTCGCTCGAGGGACGGACCCTTCGCTCGAGCGACGTATTATACTGGAAAACCTAATTTTCTATTCCGAGATTTTTACTTGGCCCATACAACCTAATTCGTCCAACCTATATATTGAAAGCGCTGTATTTTCTATGAGTGAGATTGAACATCATAATACTCAAGGTGAATACATGATTTACTAGAATCAAAGTTCAATCATTCAATTGTTCATGTGCCAATCATTGTGAAAATATCAAAACTATCAAATCAAACACTAGATTGCATTCTTCGTTTAGGTATGCTGCAAGATTGTGTCATCAACTGTGTTGCATTAAAGATCAAAGAAGAGTTTGAAGAACGAGAAGTTCTTGTAGAAGATCTACAGGAGATAAATAGTGTAAAGAGTGAGGATTGAAGTTCGTGTGCTCATTCCAGGATAACTGCTTTACAAAGAAGAGTTAGGATTGATGTTGGTGTGCACATTCCAGGAGGGCTGCTTCATACTTCAGACAGGAGATCAGAAAGCTTGTGTTGTCAACTTTACTGATAGGGTTTACATTATAAATGGCGCCAATATGAATGGGTTTTGCTTGTTTTGAGCCTTTCTCACGACAGAGGCCACCACCCCTAACCTCACATGGTAGTCACTTATGAAAACGGCTGACAGCAAAGGCACAAATGCCCCTACCGCTGACAGCAAAGGCTCACGCTGAAGCTGGTTGAAAAGGGCTTGGCAATTTCTCTTTCTTGGCCTCATCCATCTCATTTTTTTCCTCACTTCTAGTCCTATTCTCTCTCTTGAATTGAGCCAGTTCTATGTCATATTGAGAGTACACCGACACAAATTCTCCGATGGCCATGCTACAAGCTCCGGCCACCAAATCCGCTATTCCGGTGAAATACAGTGTTAATTTAAGGGTGTGAACACAATGGATTCCTTGATTATATATCGTCATAGTTAATTGCTGTGTCAATTAACTATTCAAATTTGAACCTCTATAGCTAGATTTTTATTTTAATGGGTGTGTGTCCTCCATGTGCTTTTGTCCACGGTCGACAAGAACTTTAGCACAAACTAGAATATGAATTTTTCTTATAAACATTAAAAAAAAAGTGATGCCTTTAGAAGCGAGAAAGGAAGAGGTACTTGCAATTATAACAAATTGGGGGGACTAGAAATTTAGTGAAATTCAGAACAAGAAATTAGTGAAATTCACAAATCTATCAATTTTTTAATCAAAACAATTCAAGCTAACTTCAATAATCAGACGATCCAACTAAACAATAGAAATATAAGAGAAATTTTTAACAGTTTATTTCATAAGAAACTAAATAAGGGGCCATTTATTTCATATTTGACAATAATATCTCGTAGTGAAACAAACAGTTCTAAATGCATCGTTTCAAAATAATAATAATAATAAAAATCTTAATTGATTCGTTAATTGTTCACTGAATTAATAGGCCACGTCGAGAAATGGAGATAAGATTAACAATGAAATAGGCAAATCATATCAGTCTTCATTTGACTAGAAAATGAGTCAAATTCCTACATGGTCTAATTAATTGATTTGACTTCATAAATGATACACTGAGTGTTTCCATGGAAATCAACAAGAGAGGCAGATTTCTAAAGGGAGATGGTAGGGTTTGCGGTGTATATGGAGAAGTGTGGAAGGCACATGCCAATGGGATTGGCTTATTATAAATAAATTTCTGAGTCTTTTTTACTACATCGAAGTAAATGAAGATAGAAGTTATCAAAATATGAGATAGGAAGTAAATATCTCAATCTATTATATGAAGGAGAGAAACTTCATACTATTCTATATGAATACGTGTTGAAATTGTTCATACAAATCATGATACTAGAACCTCGAATGAACCATTCAAATTGTGATACCTTCATATTGCATACCCACGTTAAAATTATTTTAAAATAGAGAGATATTAAAATCATTATTTGATTGAACCATCCAAATTGCGACACATCGATATTGCATACCCACGTTAAAATTATTTTAAAATAGAGATATACTAAAATAATTATTTTTAAAATATTGTTTTCGCATATTTGGTGTATGTTGAATTCTAATAAGTTATATAG